GGACAGGAGAAAGCAGACAGGCGTCACCACAGGACATTAACTCTCTTGACTTGATGTTCTGAGGTACGGGGTAAAACGCTGCTGTTTCGATTTAGAAATGCTGTAATGTTTAAAACTAAAAAAATGACATTTTTAAGAACTGCATCTATTGCTTTTAAATAGTTTAATTTTTTAATTAATAACTGGCGAATTACAAATGAAAGAAAAATATCTTACATTTTTTGGAATGGCAACAAATTTGAATGTAAAGTGAAACAATACAAAATCGTGTTTTGAAACTAATAGCTGTTTGGGGTTTTAAAAAATACAAATTATTGTTACTTCATTCATACAAAATATTGTTGCAAGCTTTATGCACAGGAGGGGAGGGGGGAAATCAAGTGATCCACCGCAAAAAATTATGTCCATGAAAAAGTTATGTCCTGAACAATTAAGTTTTTCTTTATGAAACTTCTAAATTAATTAATTTCTTTAGTTAAATTAATAAAGAAATACTTAATTCTTCAATTAAGTATTTTTTATTAATTTATTATTTATCTTCTTAAAATTAATAATTTAACATAACATAATAATAAAACATAAATATGTTTAATTATTTATTTATTACTTTAATTAATTCTTAATTAAAGTAAAAATTCCATGCAGCATTGATTTATGATGGAATAATGCCACAGTCACCCATGTGATGAATGGATGTGAAAGGATAGTCCCAATGTCGCTCATGCATATCATAAGAGGCGATAAAAATGGATACCCAATGTCTGGGGGACTAACTACTACACCCTGTGGGAAAAAAATCCAGATCAGAAACCTCAAAAGCTAAATCATGGGTGGATACCACACAGATGACATGGAATTATAACAGACTTGATTATTGGCACCTGGAATGTTCACACATTCTGCAAGGGTGGAGCACTTAAAAATCTGGTTGATGTGTCTGATAATCCTAATTTGGATATTTTGGCCATTTAGAAGATCAGAAGGCTTGGCCGAGGAAATTTGGATAAAAGACGACGCAGTGTTTTATATAGCTATCAGGATAAGCGGCACTGCTTTCAGGTAGGATCTGTGGCAACTAGGAAAATGAGAGACAGAATCACACACTTCAAATTTATATGACAGGATCTGCAAAGTACGGATTCGAGCTTGTCCTCATAACATTAGTATTATCAGTTGTCAGTCAACCTTAATTAGTATTACATTTGTTCCTACTGTGAACAAATGCAATACTAATTAAGGTTGAGTTTTATAATAAACTTGAAGATTCCTATGACAAATGGCCCTCAAATGATGTACCATATATACCAATGTATAAGTTAACTCCCTTTTGCTTTTGAGAAATTAACTCTCTTTTGCTTTTCCCGAATGCTTTTGAGAAAATTTTTGGAAAAACTAACTTGTCACATGAGTGGCGGTGCCACGGCCGTTAAAACAACAAATTGATGTTCTTGATAAAATTTCACTCCCTATTCAGTGAATACTTGTTTATTTCCTTCAGCACATGGTAAAATTTTAAGATATATACAAAATTTTCAAAGAATTTTATTCAAATCCTGATTCAGAGTCAGAATTACCAAATAAATCCTGAAATTCTTTCTCAGCCATTGGTGAGTCATCAAATTCCATTACTCAATTCATCACAGTTAGTATCATTATTGTCCACTTGCATTGACTGCATGATCTTCTGTGACATCCAAGTTATTGGAAATGCAACACTTTTTTAATGATTTGATTATCATTTCAGCTGGAATCATGTTTCAAGCATCTTCATCCACTCAGCAGTTAAAGTTATGTCCGATTTTCTAATATTATTGCCACTTTTGGTTTTAGTAGGCAAATTGGAATGCAGTCATTCTGCCCAATACTTGCACATATTCACCTTGAATCACTTATTTATGCTGACATCAAAGTGGATGTAAAATGGATGTCAGCCCTCCTGAGGTCCTAGAAAATGTTGTTTTTGAACTTTCTGCATGTATGAACAAACCCAAATTTTCATTTTTTGCCAGTTTCATGGTTTGCAAGCATATCACAGTTCAGGTTACAACATAATCTTGCCAGAATCCACTCACTTTACACTTTTTCCAGTTCTAAATCATCTTCTCATTCTTCATCATCTCAACTCTTCTCACACTTTTGTGATGCAATACATACTTTTTGCAAATGAAGCTACTTTCAGTTTGAATTTTGCAGTGTAAGGTAGTGTTTTTTTTGTTTTATGCAGCTCACTGCAGGAAGCGTGTGGCTCTGAAAAGAACTGCTTTTTGTACATTCTGATAAATCAGACATTATGAAAAGCAGGAAAAGAATAAAGCATGTGTACAATCAAGATAAATAGCAGGATTTATTCAGTATGGTTACAGTTACTGATTTAATATAGTTATATTAACTAAAGAGTGCCTTATATGTATTGTACAGCTTGAATTGGTCTGTGATTTGAATTGGTCTGTGGATTGTAGCTTGAATTGGTCAGATGATGAAATGGAAAAGGAGGAAGGAACTAATAAATAAACAGTTTTGTGTTTTTCAAATCAGACATTATGAAAAAAATGAAACCACGTTCCAAAAAAACTAACCTTAGGCCATCCCAGAAAAATGAAATAATTCAAATTAATAGTCATCGAGTGTATACAAGACACCATCATTATGTCTTCAAGATGAAGCAAGGCATTTAGATTTCTTTGCAGCCAGTCGGCAACATAGGCTCACCTTTGGTTCGACTCAAAACAATGGAACATATTTTGGATTTTAAAGCTAGATTTATTATTTTTATGGTTAGTTTTTGGTTTTCAGGTCTCTTCTGTACTCTTTCGGGGTTTTTTTTCCCTTTTTTTAAATATGCTTGCTTTTAATAGCCTGCACTATATTTAGCGAGACGCGACCATTTATTTAGGACTGTTTAGTGTAATTACGTCAATTCTTAATTATTCTTATTAAGGCAATTCATAGTGAATTTCATTTAGATTAAAAGAAATCATCTACATATTGAGGGGGAGAAAAGCAGAATATACTAGAAAACGAGCCAAGGCCAAACAGAGAAAACAAATTTCAGCTAAGATGAAAAAATAACTTTACGGAAGAAGTACACCATCAGACCCTGCTGCAATTCCGATTATGCCAAGATTCTAGGTATTAATATTTCTTGCAATTTGCACGACCAAACATGACTGCCTATACCATCCCCAAACAATCTATAAGTCAGCATTTGAAAGAACAACTTTCTTTATCGACATCAAACGAATAGCTGGAGGTCATAAAACCATGATTTAAAGAGAACTTTTCATTTAGATGGGAGTGGGGAGCAAAAAGACGAAAAACTAAAAATTTGGATCCATGCAGATAGCTGGTCATAGAAAAAAATAAAAGATAACCAACAATCTTTCTTAAGCAATCAGTCAGTATTATTAGCCAGTAAACATTCAGAAAACATAAACTTTAGTCCCATTGAACATGATGGCAGATATTTGACATGCAATACAAAACATTAGTAAATAATGAAAAATTTAGAACATCTTGGTTTACATATTCTAAAAACAAGAATGCAATTTTTTTGTACACTCTGCAAGATTTATCCGAAACATGGTGCTACCGCTACACCACACTACAGGATTCATTAATTGGAAAAAAGTTTTAGGAAAATTAACTGAGCACGAAGAGTCTGGAATCCACAGAGGTGCATCATTAAGTGGAAAATTCGAGTACAACAAATGAAAAAATGAAATTGTGCCAAGGCATCGATCACAACACTGAGCGACTCATTCACATAGAGCAAGAAAAATGAAGAGAAATTCTATATAGTCATGGATGTGGTATTGTATCTTTCAACAATATGCCATTCTTTTCTTGAGTCTGCTAATATACCAAGTAGCCTGTGTTCACAAAGTGTCTTCGACCTAGCGAAGGAAATTTTCTGAATTAAATCTCTTCGCTTGCCAAACATAATTCAAATCTTAAGTACCAGTCAAAGCACCAAACAAAGATAAAGGAATCATATTTATCAAAGATAATTCAAAATGAAGTTATTAACTTAAAGGCAAAAAATCACCACCTCTAGTATTCAGGGCTGTTCCTAGACCATAACTAAATTTGACGGTAATGACATGGATCAAGAATCTCATGATGGTTAAACAGGATACAACTATGATGAACTGAAAAATTAAAGTGACAGTGAAATAAAAACAGATAGTGATAGAGAACCTAGATTGCAAAAAATGTTCTAAATGATTTATCTAGCAGTGCACCTTCTTATGAGTAAAAGAAATTACATAAATAGAACTGGGAGAAAAAAGAAAAAAACTGTCCAGAAATAAGAACATTTGCATCAAGAATAAACGTTTCATATTTGTATAATTAAATGATAATCTTGGCATCTGGATGCTTTAAAAGAAATGCTTACTGAAGATTCTGGGCAAATGAATACAGCACAGAAGAACAGATATGCACAACAAATAATAGAAGATTCTATGAAGAAAAAAAGGGAGCACAAATTCGTTTTCTGTGAATTCAAAAGAACAGAGAATGCACTTTGCATAATGCATTCTGATATTTCCAATTAAAAATCAAAACTTCATATGTACTGAATAAAAACACACATTCTAAATATTCTGTTCTTTGCAGATACCATGTTATAGAGGAAGTTGTTTCACAATTCACATTTTGCTCGTAATGAGAAATGAAACACATAGGATAGAAAACGTTAAGCATAACGTCAATTATAAATTTCGTAGCATTTTCAATCCAGATAATAATACGTCTTTTTACGAAGCACTTGTAAAATATAATTGAATTTTTTGGCTGAAATCTTTTATTTTTATCGTGATGCATTAAGCAAGCAATAAAAAATAAAATCGGATTCATGGGAAAATTTATCCATAATCATTCGGTATCCAATGCCCTTAAAACAATTTAATATCCCTGGTTTTTAAAATTGAAAACTGATTGCATGAATTCATACAACACATACAAAATAATAATAATAAACACTTGAAATAAATTAGTACTTATAATATTCGCGCTATTTTCCATTTCATGCAGTACACCACAAATTATTTGATTAGAATTTGTAAACAGGTAATCCTTTCCACGTGTCTTTTACTATTTACAAATAGAACAGTAAATTTATCCATACCCAATATCCGCAACATGGATCATTGTCATTCGATTTCGTATCCATCCTGTATGTAAGCAGCTATACTATTGGTTAATTTCTATCATGACGTATCAATACACACGCCGCTACACTCGCCCTCTCGTGACGGTTAAAATTTCCGTGATCTGGAACTCCTAGACGAAATTTACTGCACAGAAAAATGAGGATATTTTTGTGATACTTCATTCCAGTTTAAAGTAAGTTATACGTGTGATTATAAAATTTTGCGTTTCTTTTGAATTTATGTTGTAGGTGAGGGGTGAAAATTTATAAACAAGTTTTATTTAAGTGTTTATCTTATAGTTACTTCCATCATCGTTGACTGCAAACATGGTCTTCTTCAGTCACTTGGAGGGCGCCACTTCATTTAAAAATTATTTATCTGAAAGATGGCAATTATGCAATAGATGATATTTTTTCAATAAAATAAAAAACTTTTCAATTATTATGAATAAAATTATTTACAGAAGTTACATTTCATGAACATAAAGATGACTTCAAATGTACACATCTTATAACAAGCAAGATATTGGAATTCTCATGTCGAGTAGGCCTAATGTGGCGTTATCGCTTGCGCAGTACAAAAAATTTTAAAGAAGGGTACTGTTTATTCAAACAAGATTTCGATTAAATATTCTTTTGCATTATCATAATATTCTGATTGAAATATAGATGATTCATATATTGGTGAATCTGGTATTTTGCGCAACTACGCTGTGAATTTTAAATGTTAAGGTTTTCTCTGATGCAATCGGAAGTGAAATATTAATTCGTTAGAAACACAAAAAGTTCAGCCAAGCAAATTCAGTTATTGTACTTAATGTATATTCATTAGTGTTGTCATTTCGTAAATTGAATGCAGAAAAGCAGTGTGATGCCTACAGTTTTAAATATTAATTTGTATTTTTGTTTAATACTGTGTAAACTGTGACTTCTGCAAATTATTCTAAAGTGAATTTATTTTTTATATTTTGGCGCGAAATGAGTATTTATGAAATTAGGAATTTATATCAGAACAAAATGAAAGCCCTGTGTAATTAAATAATTATTTTTCTACAGAGCATAGGATAAAAGATGTGCTTTATTTTGAAATTTCATTTTAATTCTTAATAATGAAGGAAATTTCATAATTACCATTTGAACCGTGTCATGTTTTCATGAAAATGTGTGTTGTCGAATTTAATCTTGTGATGCTTATGTAAATATTTGATATTTCTGTAAGAATATTCTTATAAGTGTTTTCCATTTTAACGGTAAAATGTATTTAATTATTATTTTTTTGATAGAACAATGAAAGTGTAGGATATTAACTCATTATTTTGTAAATTTTTGTGTATGTATAATAAATACTTCTTATTATAGTGTGTATACATTTATTCTGCATAATGCAAGATCATTTCTTCTGGTTTTAATTTAAATTAAACATCTTGGTAACTTGTTATATCTGTATTGTCTCTCAGAAGTTTCATATAGGATTGAATCAAAATTTTTATTCATTTTATAACCGTTTTAAATCTATAATAATTACTGTACTCATATTTTTATGTTTAAAATGAATTATTTAGTGGAAAACAGATTAAGGGAATCTATTGCTTGCAGTTCTCTTTTACCTACAATGTTGAAGTACAGTATAACTTAGTCTCAAAATTTTCTACTTAAATTATAAATTTTCTGATCTTAGAATAGCAATTAATGTTTAGAATTAATGGAAATGAATATATGAGATTAGCAGCCACCATTCAGAGTATTTTATTGGATTATCACTACTTTTATATAAAAGGATGGGTACTTATAGAATTGACCACTGTATTTAATTGTCCAAACAGCTTAAATTTAATCACTACATTTTTCATGTGCAACTTATTGCCAAGGATGTATCTGATGCCACTTTAACGAGGAAGTACCAAAATATCTATTATGCAACTGTATAGGGACTCCACTGAAATGATTACTCACCTAAACACTTTTTGAATACTTCAGTGGCACAGGAATATAATCCTCATTTCTTGAGAGAATTTATGCATAGGGAAAAAACATACGAAGGAGATAAAAAAAGAAATTAGTTAAGTGATCTACTGCAGCAGTGGTTCTTAGCCTTTTTTACTCTTATGTGCCCCTTTCATCATAATCTCCCGCATCCCTTCTAAAAGTTAAAAAATGCATTTATTTGAATTTAGATTATTTTTTAATGTATTTTGTAAATTCAACAAGGAAAATACAAAAGGTGTTGATAAATACCAAAACTTGAATGAAAGTAGTTTAGTTAGTAGTAATAAAATATTATAATAAAAACTAAGTAAAAAGCTCCTTGCATTTCTCTCTTGAAATTTCTGGTGGTTGAGATCGCCTGTAGGTATGCCTAGTTATTGAAAGTGTACACATACATGGGAATATTTTTCTTCTATTTTTTTTTTTTTTTTTTTTAAATTAAGCTGGGTTTAACTCAGAGCATTAAATGTTTATGAAGACCATGCTTGTAGCATTCACGAAGGGTATTTAAGTATACAAGTAATAGTTTTGAATGAGCCTTATTAAGGTAGCTAGTATCTTTTAAAGCTTAAACATTTCTCGTATGATGAAATCAGATTTCTCATGCTGGTGGCTGCTTTGTATGATCAGTGGTATATCATCCTCACGTGATGTAGAAAGTTTAAAATTACTTGGTGGAGTATTTTTTCCTTCATCAATTTTTTAAATGTTATTCCCCCCCTGTAAGTTACAGTATATCCTACAAACTTTTCACAAATTCTAAAAAAATATTTTATTCTGTATAATAATGTACACTGCGCAAAAAAAGGGGGGTAGTTCTGTATATCCCATTTACTGTGCCAATTGATGAAATTCAAATTGCGTTTTTCATATCTCGAACGCGCACCTTAGGATATATATTAGATTTATATATAGCATCATTCTAACATAGGTATTTTGATGCAAAACCTGACTTTTTCTGAAATGACATACAATTTTTTTTGCATATTTCGATTGGAATGAACCTAAATTTAAAGTTCTGGAAGAAGGAATCAAGTACGATTAATAAAAAAAGGGATATTAGTAAATATATATCAAATTCAATTAACATTGAGGAGTTAAAATTTTGAGAGCCAATTTTTAAAAAAATACTCATGCGATTGTTACAAAACTTGCCATTTTGACATGATTTGAGTCGTAAAATTGAAATGTGGATGTAAATTGTCATGTCGTTTCAGAAACAGTCTGATTTTGTGTCAGAATACCTATATTAGAACAACACTATGTATAAATTCAATACATATCCTAAGCTTTCGAGACTTGAAAAACGCAAGTTGAATTTCATCAATCTGCCCAGTAGAACAAGAGATATAGAACTGCCCCCCGTTTTTTTTTTTGTTGCACAGTGTACAAGTAGAGTTGCATTTAATACAATATTAAATTAACCTAAAAAACCATATCTATCCCAAATTGAAACAACAAATTTTTTATGAAGTATGCCATACTCACAAAGGTGACTGACTGAATCGTTTAATAGTTCATATTTTGAAAATCGTTGAAATTATATGTAAACATTGAGTAACATAAAAAACTTTTCAGAAGAGGTGTGTTTAGATGATATTTATTAGCTAGATTTAAATTTGTTATTTGTCATATTTACCTGCATATTTTCCTAAGCTTTTATGGCCCACCAGCGGCCGAGCAGTAAAGTCACTGAACACCGGTAGTTCGGTCCGAGGTTCGAATCCCACGAACAGGCTGGCTGCATGGGCGTTTTCGTGGTTTTCCTCATGTGTAACGTGTATATGAGCCAGTTTGCCATAGAAAGCTTCCACGAAGGCTTCCCTTCCCTTAGGCAGATAGCCGTAGTGTGCTTTGCCGTAATTAAATAAATGAAACAAAATGAACCTAAGCTTTTATTATTAATTTTGCTACTCGAAAACTGGGAGGATGAAAATGCAGTGTGTTCTGCTTCTGAAAAGATGGCTTAAGTGATAAACACAACACATTAAAAGTATATTATGTATTTCAAAGGACTTACAATTTCATTAATTAGCTTTTTATGTACACAAAATGCTTTGCTATTTGCGAATACGTTTACATTGTTGCCATGAATCAGAAGTGGTAATTTTCTGTTTCGCTGGTGCAAATCTTGCCAAGCTGACTTTATTGGCGACAACATACAGTATACACATAAAATTTTTAACAAATGTTAGTTCTAAGAATTTTTTGGCTGATCTTTAGAATATGGTAACTGATAGTTTGTCGACATTTTGGAGGCGATAAAGGTTACTACCTGGGACTTTGGTAATAATGTGAGAAGTACTCAGTTCCGATTACGCATTATTTTGTGTGAGGGAAATGAGAGATCATGGGATATGTCGTGATATTAATGGACGAATTACGGTTCTTTAATCGGAAAAGGGGGGAAATCGGTAAAAAATCTGGAAATTTTGTATTTGGCTTTATTCTGTGTTGTGTGAAACAGTGTTCGTTAATTTTTGGATCCCATGGCCCTAATTAAAGTGAATTCGAAATGGGTATTTAGTGGGATTGAAAGGGGTAGTAATAAGTGTTTCTTTAAGGTTGTGCGAGATAGAAGTAAAGATGTTTTATTAAGTTATTTATTTTATCTGGTACTATGCTGTGAACTATAAGTATGATTTTAAAGATCCTGAAACAGAAATAAGAAAAGTTTATCGGACACGTAATCAAGATTCTGAAGAAGAATAGGTAAGTTAGTATTTTTAATTATTTGAGGATATTATTTTTATGCATTCTTCTAAATGTAAGGTGGAAGTAAAGTAATTTGCGTAAACGTGCATGGAAATAATTTAAATATTTGACACTAAGTATTTGTAACCATTTGTAATATTTGCGGTATGAATGAATTAGTGACGTTTGTAATATAATAGATAATGTAGAGGTAAAAGATTTTGGATATTTTACTTATTTTATACGGGGAAATGTTCATATTTGGAAAGGGTATATACTTTTTTGCGATCAGGTAATTTCATATAT